ACACTGCATTGTAGACACAAATGTTAAAGAAACTTGGCAAGAATCAACACATTTTAGCTACTCAAAATTCAGATTTTCTCAGTTTTGTCCCCTTCTGATGAATGGAACATATGGGAGTATTGTTCATAAAACTTGCATTGCTTATCTCGATGTCTACCAAAATTCCTCATCATGACAATATTTACCAAGATACATATAGATTCAAATTTGAATTAATTACCTAGAAGTTTTTCTGTACTCCCAGGTTTACTGGAAAAGAAAAACGCTTCAGAAGCAATGTGTTGTGAGTATTTAACAGTAGATGTTATAGCAACAGAGGTAGTGGAGTGCTTGCTGGGGAAGGCAGCTATCCAGTTAAAAGCCATCAATGCTAAGTGAGATAAAAGACAGGGAAGAAAGTAGCTGCTTTGCCAAGAAGCAGTTTGAAATCTGACATTATAAACAAAACACATGTAAATCTAGACATAAATCCTCTCTCATATGCTGAAGGCTCCATAATATTTTAGCTAGCATTATTACTTACAAACAAACAATTCCTGAAATACGGCATCACAACTGCAGAACAGCCTTTAACCTTGTGTTCATCCACTCAAGAACTATGTTATTTATTATCCTTTACCCCTTAATTATGGGGACTTCACCTACTGCTCTCTGCTCATTTGAAATGCAGAATAAAATACAATGGATGTCTGAAGACTTAACAGGTGTCAACCAGATATTTGCCAGCTACCGCTACTATTCTACTGGGAGGAGTTGCTGTTCTATAAATACTAATTAGAGTTTTGCACATGATCTTGCTGAAATACCTAAGGTGATGAGTGGCCAGTTGTTACTTTTAAAAGATTAGCACAATTTGAAAAACTAATGTCCCCAATGAGGCAATGCTCACACTGAATAATCAAGAGTTATAGCGGTTCTCTGCCCAAAGGGAATATTTGCTCACTTCATCATTTGGAAAATCTGCTGCCTCTTGAACAACTCACTCTTCTATTTCACTTTGAGAAACTTGTAAAACTTCGTGCAATCAATATAATAGTACGGTATATGTACTTAAATGGTCTTCCACTGCTATGCCCACATGGAAGTATTTATGAATAGCTTCCAAGGACAGAGCTTTTAATGTGAAATCATGATTAAGAAACTGCAACAAAATTAGGTTGCACTTAAGTGAAGCAGCAAAGAAAAAGAAGATTACAGTAGAAACTGCATCAGCACAGCAAAAATTTAATTTCTTCAAAACCATCTCCCCTCAAATTCTTCACCTCCACAAATGAGACAAAGAAAGAAGACCCAGTCAAAACAGAACAGGTCTCTATTATAGTAATTGAGGTTTTTATATTTGTAGTAGTCATTATTGAGAAAAAACACCAATTCTTTAAAATCTTGGTGTAATACTTCTGAAGAAACAGCTAATTTTAAGCAAAAATGCTAAGTGATCAGATGCAGCACATTCCACTGGCTTGAAATAAAATCTTCAGTTTCATCTTGTCCAGTTTGCTATGAAGTGCAACTGATGTAACACGGCGTGACACAATGCTGTCTTTCTACGTATGAGCTGTGATTCATTGCAGTGAAATTTGACTGATGCAACTGACACAACCCCATACTATTTAGTGTCAACATAGCGCGTCCACAAAAAATGCAGAAAAAATGGGTAGAGGGATTCAGAACTTAACCTACTTAGTTCTTTTTTATTTTGCTCTGTCCCTCTGGGAAAGAATATTCAGTAAATCCATTACCATGTATGGGGAAAATAGATATCATTTTAATCAGAATTTATTTTTCTGGTTTTTTTCTTTTTAAAAAATAATCTTTTTCTTTAGCATGAAATCTGTTTTTTCCTTATCCTTCAGCATACTGCTTCCTCTTTTCAAGTAGCTCATTACTGGAAATGTTTGGCCTTACTTCAAAAGAGAAGAATATGTCAACACCAGAACATCTGTGTCCACATAGAGTGCTTTGATGACAGTGATATACTCCATTTACATCAGTAACACTGACCTCAACCTTGATGCTGACTGCATTTAAAGATCTTACCCCACAGGGCAAGAGAATACAGGTCAGAAACGTTGATCTGTGTTTGATACACTCTCTACTTCAAGAGCACTTGGCAGTGATTTGTTCCAGAGTCAAGAATCAAACTCAAAATGTTGCAAAGCTCAGAGCCATGTTCGCATAACCACATTCAAAACAAACATTAAAATTCACCGTCTCTGGAGACCAATCTACTTTTGATATGCAGGATTTTGCGAGCAATATGGTCAGATTCTATCCTGAATACAGTGGGAACTTTCTCATTTAAATCAAAAGGGCATAACTCAGGCTTGAGTATCTGTTATTAAGAGGAGTAATGTACTTACATCTCTCAAATGCAAAAAGGAAAAGAGACACTTTATCACCCTAAAACTCAAACCTGATTGTATAGAAAAAGGAGTGGAATAGTTATGTGTGACACAGCATTGCTTCCATCAGTGTGGCCAGAGGAAGTTGGGGGAATTTCAGAATGGATGACATATTGAAGGCACAGGCACAGTGTGGCAAAGGCAGGCACGCACAAAAACGATGAGTTCCTCAAATATTTAGTACAGAAGAGTTTGGAAGTGAAGGACTGAGCTCTACTACAGAATATTTGCAGACCTTGGTTTATGGTAATCTTCTTCCTTTTAACTTGATTTTAAAACCTTTTGTGTTTCTTCAACTTTTTGTAATTAATATATCATTTTCTAATTTAATTACATTATATCCACTAACCTGCTATGCTGACTTAAATCTTAATATAAGGTGGAGAGTTCCAATAGTCTCCTTCCACAATTCTGAATCCTGAGTACCCTCGTGTAAACCTCAGCACTTTTGCAGCATTGAATGATTCGGTATTGCTTACTAGACTAATCTATACAAAGCATCAAACAGGATCAAATCGATGCAGCTGGATATTGCCCTGTTCATGTTCAAGGACCACAACTACCTGTATGCTGCATTAGCAAGTACAAGTACTAGTAAATCCTATTTCAGCAAACAGAGAAAGAGAAAATTTTGTTTACAGGTTTCACTAGAATGCCATGGAAACAGATACAGAGGTAATTGTAAAAGGCATAATCCAAATGGAAGACAGCTCTAATAGAAAGCATATATCCAAAAATAATGTATGTGTTTTCCCACTTGGAAAACACATGCATAACTCCTATTAACATCAAGACAGAAAATTATACTGAGTAGGCCCCAATATCACTAAGGTCCCTGATAACAGTATCAATTAATGTGCACCTTCAAAGTACAGCAAGATGTTTTCATACACAGACTATTAGAAAAAAATAAAAATACCTTAATAGAATAATGATCTTTTTAAAGAAAAAAATTACAGCTAGAATTTCTGAAACAGGATTAAAGTATGGTAGTAGCCGTGTACAAGGAAGCTGCTCAGCACCTGCTGCCTACACTGTGCCTGGCTCCAGGCAATGTTATTCATTCCTCACTTTCATGGGAGCAAATACATCCCCGAAAAATATAAAACACAAAAATAAATAGATCTCTGGGGAAATGGAAGAGAAATCTGTTTTAAAAATAGTGAAGGAGCCTATATGTTCTAGAAAAAGCCTATTTTGCATTGTTTTGTAAGATTTACACTTTAATTTGAAACCAAAGGCATAAAATTTGTATGAAAGCAATATCTGATTTATAGATAAACTTAACACACAATATACTTAGCTGCAAATACCAGACCCCAGTGAGAGAAGGAAAAGGTTTTGAAAGATGATTAGAGCATGCTTGATAAATGTGGCCCTGAAATGCCCCAAAAGATTTTTCTGAAGTTAAATGGTAAACACAATTAACATGACTTTTGCTACAAAAACACTAAACACAATGGATTTTTTTAATTAATTTTCAATGTTATTACATGCTCCTATTGAGCTGGAATTGACTCCATCCACTAACTGTATTGTGAGACAGCTCTTCTGTCCATATGACCTTACCATCTAGATAAAAAACCAAATAGCCATTCTGCTGGTCATATGAAGAGGAAGCCATATAATAACAATGATCTTATGACCATCAAAAGTTAAAATCTTGCAGGTGGAAATTTTGTGACAGTTGAAATATTTAAGAAAGATATATTTATAAGGCTCAGATAATGTGCAGATTGATCAAATGTATTATTAATTAACCAATAAAAAGAAGCAGCTGTAAAGGCTTACAAGAATACATTACTGTACACACCTAACCTCACTATCCGTATTCAAACAAGTCTCCTAGCTAAAGGCAAATCACGTGATTCTTGGGAGACTTGCATGCATTAGGACTTATTGGATTTACATATTATTATTTACAGTACACATTTCATTACATTTGCTTTGAGAAAATGTACCATCTACATGGGTATTCATGTGTTTCATATGGGCATACCTTTCTGTGTTGTATATATTGTGGAGCTTACAACAAGGTGGTTTGGCCTTGCGTCTTAGATAAAACAGACCAGAGACTACTCATTCACATGAGGTCAACTCACATGGCAGATCTCACATTCTTCCACTAAAATCTGACCTCCACAAAACAGGGAGAAGAAATCCAAACAGCCTTTTGGAACCAGTCCAGGCCTAGTCCATCTCCTATATTGCTTGCAGGCGTTGTTTGGGAGACTGCTAGCTGACACAAGCCAAAACTGGGCCAGGGACTGTCCTAACAGTTGGATGGTGGGGATGTCACTGAAAAATAATTTGGCCCAAGCCCTGACTGTTCAGTTTGCTTGAATGGACATCACTTCAGTCATGCTACTTGAAACAAGGCACTACAACACACCATCATAGCAAGGCTGGAAAGGGCCTCCAGAGTTCATACTGTCCATCTGCTCCAAAGAGAACCTGTCCTCACAACACTGCTTTTGCATCAAAGTTCTCTCCTACTCTTACCAAAAGATGCACCTGAGCCATAAGGTCTTCACTACAAGAAAGTGCCAAGTAAAACACTTTTATGTCATTAAGCAAGTCCTTGAAAGGATAACTTACCATTTTGGTCTGCTTGTGGATTTCACCATTGGAGCCATCCCATCTCTATAGAGGCTTTTTGTTTTACTGAAGTTGACAACATTGAAAATTACTCTCTGGGGAAAAAAGAACAAAAACAAACAAACAAATAAAAGAGGTCAAGTATAAATTATGAAGGAGTTTATATGTGTATTGCATATACCAGCTGCATGAAGTACACACAGAAAATATATGGAATAGATGTGTGTCTTATGAATTATTGTTACTCTCCATAGGTCTCAGATAATGGATACCCTGCCTATTCCTAGTATTTTAATAGTCCATGTTGTTTTACGCTGCAGTGATATACATGGAATGTATGTTTTGAATTTAGTATGCTGATTTTTCAGTAGGTATCCTAGCCATATAAAGAAATAGGTTACTCAGATCTGAAAACAGAAAAGCAAGTCCAGTTTGCTGCAGTTAGTGTTAGAGAGGTTGGTGGAAAGCTGGGAGACAGGGTAGCAGTCCTCATGAAAACCTTCCAACTGCTTCATCTCTTAAAGCTTCTTAGTTGCTTCTTTCAACCTGCTTAAGCCTCACACAGCAGCAGGAAAAAAATAAAGATTTCTGATTTTCTTTCCCCAAAGAAAGGAATATTTCTCTTCACTTCCCTTGGCAAAAGGAAGAATTTTCCTCTGCAAAAACTGTACAGAATACCTACACAGTAGAAATTGCACATAGCCATCATTCGTTTGAGTATGATAGAGAAGAAGAAAAGAGTCCAGTTCTGATCTTAGTTTACACTAATAACTTTGGGAAAACTGTAGCTGATATTTAACAGTTCAAAGGAAGAGCAAAATCTAGAACTTTACAGGTAATGGACTGATACTGAAAGTAAATTCATGCTAAGGGAAAAAAGAGAAAACAGAGATGAAACTTTCTTCCTTACCATCTGTCTGCTGTAAGCAATTTTATGCAAAATTACTTATTCTGTTTCTGTTAAGAAAGTCTAGGTTGGATCTAGCTCATCTCATGTAGTACATTTACTTTTCAGATGTTAAATCCAGTATACTTGGTTTCTTGTACTCTTTTGATACCCAACATTAATGTACACAGAAAAACCGAAATATAAAGACTAAATTAATTTTGATATAATGTTCCAGGATATACTAATACATTTCATTTGTACATCTCTCTTTAAATTTCTTTTCCACAGGTATCAGTGAAGACAGACCACTAAAAATTATATTTGCCCCTAGGTATTCACACATTTGTTTTTAGAACAAACTATTGTAATGTTTACACTCTTAAATAATGGTTCATGAGAAGTCTGAGAATTAAATGTCCACTGTTTGAAATCAAATAGTTTTGACTAAAGCAATAAGATCAGTTAAGCTTTCATATGTAAACTTTTGCAAAAACAAATCTGGCCCTTCCAGGTAGTCTGCTCAGACAGCAGTGAATTATAACATTAAAGTGAAAGCAATCAGCAGTGGGACACTGACAACAGGAGTCAGGCACATTTACATTTATATGTGGGGCAGGTAGGAATCCAGGTAAACTATATAGCCCTAATTAAGTATCTCTGTACTCAAGAAAAAATAAGAAAGTTTTTCTGTGGTGAGGTAGTGCTGAAGATTTTGTAAATGGAAGCACAAGCTGCTACATATGCAAACTCTGCATTAGTCAAACAAAATCTAAGAATAACCTGTAGGTTTTACTGGAACCGACTTAAAAAACTAGCAAGTTGAGAAAAACACTTTCTTAAAGATGTTAATTCAATTTTGTACCAACGTTAATGAGCAAACTACATATCCCTGTATATGAGTTTTCATGTATTTTGTCTATTGCAGCATTTTGAGATTTTCTAATGGTCATGAGACGAGCTTATTTTTATAACTCTTGATGAAAGCATACACTTAATTTACAAAATGTTATATGTGTAATTTTAAGTATTTAGGATATTGCTTATCTGATGAAATATCCATCTCGGGAGGTCTCTAGTTATTTTCCATCTTCTTATGTTTACATTGTATGCCTCTAAGCTAGATAATGATATTTAGGTCTCTATATATTCCATACTCTACATGGAAGCATTTTCCTGTATTAGAATGCTGAGTTTTTCCTCTGTTACTTAACTCTGTTCGTATTTGTGAAAACAAATTAAGTTGCAACAAATTGGTTTGTTAATCTCGATGTTTGCATGGAGTGAATGAAACAAACAAGATCTCCAAACCAATTGCCTTAAACTTTGGATGCAATCATGCCACTGTTGGAAAGAGAAAGTTGCTAATTTTGTTACATACTGACTCAGAGCAGACAGCTGGTAGAGAATGTTCTTATTCCAATCAAGCTTATTTTGTATAATGAGTTGGGCAAATGTACACAACTGGGTAAGCAACGTATATAAAAACAAAAATATGCAGCTCATTTAACAAAACACTGCAGATTATAACATTTCAACCACTCATGTTCACCACGGAGTAAGCAGTTCGCAATGCATGCAGTTCTCTCAGCATGGTATATCATTAGATTGGCAGAACCAAAAATTTAACAGCACAGAACAGAACTTTTATCAACATACACCACTGAAGTAATAAAGTACACAAACCGAAACACTCAAATAAGCAGCTGAACTCAGTCAAGTATTCCCGGTGATAGTTAAAGTAGTCCACGCAGCTCAGTCAGTGAAGTGTGCAAAAATGTAATGACTACAGTATACACACCTTAGCTGGAAAAATATGCAGCTTGCTCAATAAGGTATGTAAACATCTTTGAACTGAATGCTATAATAAAAAGGTTGTGATACAGCAATCAAACATTTGCTGAACAAATCTAATTTTTAGTCTAATTTTTGTCTATACTGGCATTCTTTAACACACCAGTTATAAACTGTAAAGAGCAACAGGACTAGATATACACTATGCACATTAAAACACTCTTTCCTAAGAAAATTATCACTATTCTGTATGTTTTTCTGAATTATAGAGACATTCAATGGGTAGCATTTAATGAGCAATATAAGTTAAATACTCAAAAATGAAAAAAACCTAGCAATTTTTTTTAAGAAGTGTCAAGCTAAGAAAATAAGACGAAATGTACTTACAAATTCCCTAGAACTTGCTCTGGTCTCCAGAGAAAAATGGCAGAAATCTTTACAATGAAAATATTTGTATTCATTTTGGAGGGTATGAATACCACTAAAAGAAGCAATAGTCAAACTGATGCTGTACCAGAAATGATAATTGTGTGATTTCACTTCAGTTATGATACATTTTCAATTTACTGCATTACTCTGACAAACTGATCTGCATCTTCTGGGTAGGTGGAAGAGGCACGGAGCAGAAAAGCCCCTCCAGACACCACCAAGTAAAACCATACTATTTGGGGGGGTGCATCAGGATGCATTGTGGCTTCACAGCATGAGGGAAGACAACTGCTGCAGTCTCAGGCTCTGTGCATGGACTGCCAGATCTGAGACAGATGTTGGAGAACATGAGCCAAGGCAGGTATTTTCGGCCTACTGAGAGAAGGAGGAAGATGTCCTCTTTCCATAATGTGTGCAGTAAGTACGCATTTGGAGGTATCGTGCTGCTAAAACCATTAAGACAGAAAAGTGAGGAAAGGCTTGGTCCTGCCTTTAGCCTTAAAATTTACTGATTACATCTGCTTTTCCCAATAGTCCTTTGCAAACGTATTTCAGGAATTAAAAACATAATCAGGTGTTAAGGGATGCTCAGTGGTTTTAGCACAAGCAAGATAAAGATGAATCTTGAACACAAGGGGAAAAGATGGTTGAAACATGTCACACGTTTTATCTTATTACCAGAAGTTTGCAATTTCCTGACTGCAGCTGGAAGGAGCTGCTAGTTTGGGGGGGGGGGGGAAAGGGGGGGGGGTCACATCAGGGTGATTTTGGATTGGAGCTGAAGGCATTGAGCGTGGATGGTCATATTGGACATCATATTCCAACAGGTCTGTGTGAGCACAGAGTGAGCTGTGATCTCTTAAATATTCATTGTTCACCCACGTTCTGGCAGGTTTTCCAGCTGAACCTACCAACTGAAGCAGATATCTAAAAGAAAAGTCACACATTTGCCAAAGGTCAAGTGTTTTCTCCCAGGATAAGGACACACTAGGTCCCTTCAAAAAGACTGCCAGGTTTATTTTGCATGGTTTTCCCTAGCCAACTTCTCCAGAATAGCTGAGCTGCTTTGGCTGACATTAAAAAAAAAACAAACAAACCAAAGAACACCACAAAATTCTGCCTGAGGCAGACACCTGGCACAGAAAATTTTGTGTCAGATCATTACAAGTATGAGAAGTTATAACTAACTGAAAATAGGGTTTGCAGTAGGAAGTGTCAGGCATTCTTAATTGTCATGGTTTAACCTCAGTTGGCAACTGAGCACCACACAGCCGCCCGCTCACTCCCCCCCTCCTCGGTGGGTTGGGGAGAGAATTGGAAGAGTAGAAGTGAGAAAACTTGTGGGTTGAGATAAAAACAGTTTAATAATTGAAGTAAAATAAAATATAATAACGATAAAAGAATATACAAAGCAAGTGATGCACAATGCAATTGCTCACCACGCATCAACTGATGCCCAGCCAGTCCCCGAGCAGCAGCACCCTCCACCAGATTTCCCCCAGTTTATATACTGAGCATGATGTCACATGGTATGGAATATCCCTTTGGGCACTTAGGGTCAGCTGTCCTGGCTGTGCCCCCGTGTAAGCATTACCTAGCAACGACTAAAACATCGGTGTGTTATCAACATTATTCTCATCCTAAATCCAAAACACAGCACCGTACCAGCTACTAGGAAGAAAATTAACTCTATCCCAGCCAAAACCAGGACATTAATATTGATGTAACATACACATATTAAATATTAACAATTATATAATGTATTTAATAGTAATAGCATAACAATGTCAATGCAGTGGACGATGCTGCATGCTACAAGTATGATACAAACTTCACTGTGAGCTTCCAAAGTACCTGGGGACCAATTGTTTGAAGTCAGGCAGAAACAATTTCATCATTTAACCAGCCAAAATAAGAGAAGTGAGCACTAAGCAGTAATACTAAGACCTTTCAGCTGAAATTAAGTCTGAGCTCTTGTGCTCTGAA